AAGCAATTCATTTTAAAAGCAACACCACAGAATATATAATTAACTTGGTGCTAAACACAGATCCCAAGTAACATCATGACAACCACTCTATTTTGCAATCAAATTACTTCCAAGAAAACTAAGTGAACTTGAATCAGATGATCTTTATTTTTTCTTTTTGGTACCAGGTATCAAATCAGGACCTTGCACTTGCGAGGCAGGTGCGGTGCCACTAAGCTACACCCCCAGCCCCTCAGATAATCTTATTACACACTCTTTTACATGGACACTATAAGATCTCAATGTACTTCTAGTTGGTTAGAGCTATTTGCTCCCTCTTGTGGTTAACATATTATATGTGTTTATTTTCCTTCCTAGCCAACAAATAATTATTTTAACTAAAATTACTAATAGGCAATTGTAACTGGAATAGGTTATGTGTTTTTGGCAACAGAACAAATAGCTCTGGGAATATCAGAAATATGATAAACTTTTTAAAAAAAAGAGGCTTTCAAATTCTGTTCAGAAACTTTCAGGTTTAGATTACTGTTCTCTGAAATTTCTGGGTAGACTATAAAGTGTTCATTTTCATCTACCTTTAAAGATATTCATAAAACCCAAATAGCTATGTCATAGCCCATGAAGATTAATCAGGAATTCTGTTTAGCTGAAAATTTGAGCTCTTTTTATCATGTGAGTTTTGCTGCGATTTTAGTTTTTTCCATTGCAAAGGTCATGAGGATATTTAATTGCCAATCCAACAGTGCTGGGAGGTAGGGTATCTTGGCTTGTATCTAGATGTCCCTCCCAAAGGCTCATGCAGTCATAGGTGGGTAGAGATGACCGGACCTAGAGTGTGTCACACTAGGATTAGGTGTGTGATACTTAGATCAAGGATGTGTGATAAATTAGTCCACTGATTGGTTTGGAGTAGCTCTGGGTGTAAATTATGGGAAGGCCCGCTCTGTACAAAATATAAGGAATAGAAAGAGGGATGCTGGGACCGGGAATTTGGCTCAGTGGTTCTGCTGCCTGCCTGATCCCGAGTTTGATCCCTGGTACCAAAAAAAAAAAAAAAAAGAAAAAGAAAAATTGGGGCCAGGGATTTAGCTCAGTGGTTTTGCCACCTGCCTCACAAGTACAAGGTCCAGAGTTCAATATCCGGTACCAAAACAAAACAAAGACAACAAAGAGGGATGCTGCTTCTTTGCGACCTTCTGCCCATCAAGAACTGTTTCTCCTCTGCAATGCCCCTCTGCCATGCCACCCTCCCTTGGAGCCAGTCAACTATGAACTGAAATTTCTACAAACTATGAGATAAATAAACCTCTTCTCCTTTAACTTTGAGTGTAGGGTATTTTGTCTCAGTATCAAGAAATAGTAACTAAGACATGGGGCCTAACGGGAGTTGATTAGGTCATGATGGATTAATACATTACCTGGAGACTGGGTTAGCCATACATTATCATGAGGCTGGGTTTGTTACAAAAGGGAGTATAGTCCTATCCTGATTTCTACCTCAAGCATTTCTCTCATCATATGATGCCTTTTGCCATCTTATGACACAGCAGGAAAGCCCTCACCAGATGCAGCCCCTCTATCTTGAACTTCCCAGCCTCCAGAACTCCCAAGAAATAAATTTATTTTCTTTATATTGTTACAGCAACATAAAACAGAGTAAGACAAATTCTGTAATATACATATTTCACTGGAAAAGGAAAGGGCGTACTAAATTTACAAGTGCTTCAGATCTGTGTTTATATGCTAAACATCAAAAGTACAAATAAAGACATTTGAGAACAAACATCTATTTATTCACTCAGAAGTTCAATCCACTTACCTGCTTGCCCTTTGGAGTAAGATTCAGTATCCCATATACTGTAACACTACTCTCAGTGGACAAGACTACCCCATTGTAACATTGACACTATAAAAAGATCAAAATTCAAATAAGGTTATTCACATTCCTATTAAAATAGTCTAACATAGGTAAAATTAACAGAATTATTTACAAACAAGTTGTGTGGTCAAATACTAGTAAAACAAAGAATGAGACTGCCACCAATTTTTAGTATTAAGAAAGAGTAACTATTCTTATGGAAGACAGAGATTTACCAATATAACCATATACCATGTAACTATGTTCCTGGCAACAATAGACTACACATATGGTGATCATCCCATGAGATCATATCATCTAGTAGCATGGCAACTGTCTTAGCTTGTGTAAGTACTCTATGTTCATAGAACAACAAAACTGCCTAAGGTTCATTTTTCAGAGTGTTACCCTGTTATTACACTTGACTACTGTTAAACTTGACCCACCTGACAATTAACACATATATGTGTGTGTGTGTGTGTGTGTGTGTGTGTGTGTGTGTGTGTGTGTACCCACTTTACATATACAATATAAGCATAAATGACACTACTCCCCTTCACTTAAATCTATCTGGACAGTCATTTTTGTTATTAAATCCAGACTATTTAATTAACAGACAGCTCATCTACACTTCGATGATCAATACTTGAAGTCATTAGAATGGTGATAAGGAGCTTGACAATGGAGGATATCAGGCTGTCAACACCTAAACCCACTTATAAAAAGACAATCAGATATTATATGCCTTTTGATATAATGAAATTAGAAGAACAGAGTTCCCCATGAAGTAATCATGGCAAAAAACAAAAACAAAACAACTGAATCTATTCAGACCTAATCAATATGGTTTATTAATCATACAGAGGATATGGGAACATGTTAAATGATACCACAAGGATATAATCAACCATATCCAGAATTGTATCAACTAAATGCAAGATGGAGATATTGTTTAGATCTTCATTCAAATCAACCAACAATAAAAAGGCATTATAAATCAATCAGGAAAAGCTGATGGGATTTCAGATAATATTTAGTTGTGTAAACTTGGTGGGAGGTGATAATGGCAGGTACAGAGTACCCTTGAGGTACAAACGCAGTTCATTCATGAGGGCAGGTTGTAACTCAAGTTGGTCAACTGAAGGCTCAGGCTCGGCTACACAGCCTTCAAAGTCTCTCTCCTGTACATAGGCAGATCTGTGTCCTTACAGAGACACTGGCCCAGGATTTCTCAATTATCCTCTCACAGGAAAGGATGTTATTATGTTCCTTCCAGAATTCTTTAGTGGTTAAATCTGTATCTGAGACAATTTGGAAGCACAAGTGGCTGGTATTTGGGTCAAAAATCAAGACACTGCTCATAAATTAAAACTAAAATTCCAGTCATAACCCAAGTTGTTCATATGTCAAGTTGATCATAACTCAAAGGTAAACTGTACTGTATATGGAAAAGTTTTTCCACAATGGTGTATACTTATAATCCCAGCTACTTGGCAGGCTGAGGGAGGAAGACAAGTTTAAGGCCAGTCGGGGCAATTTAGCAAGACCCTATCTCAAAATAAAAAAGGGCTGGAAGACCTAGGGATTTAGCTCAGTGGCTCTGTACCTGCCTTGTAAGCACAAGGTCATGAGTTCAATCCCTGGTACAGAAAAAAAAAAAAAATGGTGGTGGGGGTGGTGGGACTGTAGCTCAGTTTGGGGCACTGAGTTCAGTCTTAGTACTGAAAAAAAAAGTTTTTCTTAAAAATGCACACAAAAGTATATTTGAATGAAATGATATGACACCTAAGAGAGCAACATCATACCGGACCAGCCGTGTATTGATAGTTATTGAAAATAGGTGATAAAGGTTCTTTATGTGTACTATATTTTGTATGTTGCAGATTTTTCCACAACAAAAGCCTTCCCAGCTTTATTAAGGTACAATTAACAAAAATTTTTGTATTTATGACATACAGCATATTTTCACGTGTGTATTCATGAGAACATAATAAAAGTTTAAAATATTTATGCAGATCTAAAAATCCTTAAAACAGTAGAGAAAGCTACTGAAAAAGTCTAAGAAAATATTTACCAAATCATCTGACAAGACACACTGAAGATAACCTGTACCATCCCGCAACACCAGGAACATCAAATTCTTTCCTAAAAATGAGAAATAGAAATCTAGCCAGACTATTCTCAAGTGATCAGAGTACTTTTCGTAATTTAATCTTACATAAAACAAACTTCAAGGTTAAGCATGGGAAGTTCAAGACTCCCACATGACCTCCTTATTTTGAAATGACCAGTAACACTGCTACACATTATGTATAAAACACTTTATTTTCTTTGTGCCTTTAAATCTTATGCAATCCTCATGATCCACACAACCATGGGTCAGTAAGACAGTAAGCCATGAGCTGAAGGATTATGTCTTATGCACCTTCGAATCCCCTAACACGTACAGCATAGTGTTGTGCTCTCAGTGAGAGGAGCATAAATGTTCCCAAACAGAAGCACTCTCTTCTTCGTTTATTTTCCATTTTATTCATGAATGATTTGATAATCACAATAAAAATAATAAAGTTATAAAATAACAGAGGAAGCAGCTGTGCACAAAAGTGCACACCTGTAATCCCAGCATCAAGGGAGACTGAGGAAGAACGATCAAACGATTGAGTCCTGCTTGGGCAACTTAGTAAGACCATGTCTCAAAATAAAAAATAAAAAGAGGTAGGGGAAGCAGCTCAGTGGTAGAGTACCCCTAAGTCTGATCCTCAGAACCACAGGGGGGACAAAAAACCAGAGGAAGCAAAACATCAGGATCAAGGGAGAAGCAGACTACAACCATGCTCATTATTTAAGAGTTAAACACTACAGGCAAATTTTAGATCAGGGTCTGGCCTCCCTGTAAACTATCTCCTGTTTTTCATTAAATAACTAAAATTCAATTAGACAAATACTTCCTGGACACCTGATTACTGTGGTTGCCACTAGTTAACAATATAATTATATAACTTTTACACTTTAATTATGTTAAATAAGAACAAATTTAGGATGTAAACCACTATATCCATTTAAAAGCTAACACATCAAAATCAAACAATAACGACAACAACAACAAAAACTCTGAACAAACCCAAGTAAATGTCTTCATGTTCTTCTCTATCTAAGACCAGGACTATGTGAAATCAAAAAGAGGAAAAGAAAAATGGTACCACTCACCTTGTCTACGCAGCCTATGCACCCAGCCAAACACCTTTACTCTCTGGCCTCTATATCCCTCTAATTCACAAATCTTCACCTATAAATTAAAATAAATCATATTTGAACAACCATGTCATTTATTACATACATTTATTACACAATGTTTTCATTGATATTAAATGGGTAGTAATAAAGTAATGATAGTAATAAATTTAAAAATCACAATATAAAATTAGAGGCAGTCACTTGGCAGTTTAGAACTGAAAAAATTTCACCATGTTAAAATGAAAAAAAAAAAAAAACAAAAAAAAACAAGACTTACTGGCAATGAGAGGCACTCAGAAAGTTTTCAGATACTGCTATTAAAAATCAGTTAATAAGCGAATTCAATTTGTCACAAGCAGAGCACCTGCTCCCCAAGGTAGCAAGTCCTAGCCACACAGGGCCCTTTCCATGACCTCAGTCTCTCAGTACACTCTGGGACTTAGAAGCTAATAAAACGCTGTCTGTTTGAAAGATGAAGATGAGAGGAGAAGTCTTCAGAGGAAGGGGTGGTGAACATAGCCAAGAAAACAATTTCATCACTAAGTAGGGAAAATATGACAATTATCAGCAAGAAACTACTGGAACTCAAACCATGTCCATTAATAGTGCAGCAATCCGTTTGGGTTCCAGAAGGAAAGAAGGAACCCAATTTCACAGAATCACATACTTTATAAAGGTCCATGGATTTCTACCTCATCTGATGGTGAGGCAACAGATTCTAGAGAGGGTCAAATCACTTGACCAACACCTCATAGCCAGGGCTGCATCCCAGGTGTGCTGGGGCTTAAGTCAGAAAAGAATGTATTTAACATGCAATTACTAAGCTCTCTGTTAAAGCAAATGCCTAAAGAACCAGCCTCCCTGACTTAAAATCTTTCTCTATCCATTCTAAAAGGAAAGACAATCAATGTCAAGGAACAAACAATGTGGCGTACTCCTCAAGGCCTTAATTAATGACGTGACGTGACCAGGCCCACGGTGCGGGAAACGATGTGCACACTTACACACTCTGGCTCTGGCAGACTTGGATCTTTTTTAATGGTAATCTTCTTGGCTTCTTCCAGGTTCTTTTCTCTTCGCAAATTATCTTCTGCCTAATTTTAATAAGTCAACTAATTAACACAGCTTTCAGCATTCCAACTGGTAAAACACGTATAGTGGTAAACTATTAGTCACCTCTTTCTTCTCCCGGGATTCATTCTTCATTTGTTCCCTATGCCACAATTTTTTAATGTTCTTCATCTGTGATTTAGAAATAACATCCCATCTCTAGAGAGAAAAACAGATACTTAATTTTACCCAAGACTTCTGTTTATTCAATATTTAAATTCAAAATTTATAATTTATAAAAATTATAATTCTATAAAGTGTTAGATTCACCTTACCTCATTTTCTTTTTGCGAATCTACATAAATGGTGGGAAATGGTTCTTTTCCTACTGCCATCAAAGCCTTGGGTAGGGAGAGAGAACAAACAAAAACACAATGAATCATTCCCTCTGTTGGCAAGACCTGCAGCTTAGAAAAATCAACCTTTTCCAGAGGAACATTAATACTACAAAGCTACAGTGATAAAGAACAGCATGTAGCAGCAAAACAAAACAAACACAAAACATAAACACAAAAAACAGACAGAATGGAGGATGCAGAAACAATTAAAAGTACATTCAGCTACCTAATTTTTGACAAAGGGGCCAAAATCTTTCACAAGAGGAAAGACTGCCTCTTTAACAAATGGTGCCGGGAAAACTGTCTATCCACATGCCGAAGATGAAATCTAACCCATATTTCTCATCATGTACTAAAATAAAATCAAACAGATCAAAGGTCTAAATATTAAAATAGAAACGATCTGCTAGAAGATAAAAAAGGTAAAATTCTTGAAGACCTTGCTATGGGCAAGGACTTTCCAAACCAAACCGTAACTGTATAAGAGATAACACCAAGAATCAACAGGATCATATAAAATTATAAAAGCTGGTGCATAGTAAAAGAAACAACCAACAGAGTAAATACGACCTACAGAATTAGAAAATTTTACCAGCTATTTCTCAGATAGACAACTATTATTCAGAACACATGAAGAATTCAAAATAATTAACCCCACCAAAATAAAAGATACACCAAAAAATGCACAACTGTAGTGAATAGATACTTCTCAAGAGAACTACAAATGGCCAACAAATACATGAAAAAATGTTCACTGTTCTTAAAAAAATGCAAATTAAAACAACATCTTACTCCAGAAAGAATGATTACCATCAAGAAATCAGACAACAAATACTGGCTAGGTAGTAGAGAAAAAAGAACCCTTCCTATTGGTGGGAATGTTAAACCACTGCTGATTATGAAAAATCAATATAGCGATTCCTTAAAAAACTAACACAAGAGATTCCATTTGATTGATACAAAAAAAAAATTCCTTTTGACCCAGATATTCCCCTCCTACATATCTTCCCACAAGAGTTAAAGACACCGTATTTCAAGGCATACCCATATTGACAGCAACACAATTCACAACAGCTAAAACTAGCAAGTAGCCTATATTCACCAACAGATAAATGGATAAAGAAAATGTGGTATATATACACACAATAGAGTATTAGTCTGCCATAAAGAAGGATAAATGAGTCATTGGTAGGAAAATGGATGCACCTTGCAATCATAATGTTAAGTGAATCAGACACACAAGATTAAATATTGCACAGTTTCTCTCATATATGAGAAACCCAAAATACAAAAATGAGTAAAATAAAACATATAATATGAAAAAAGACATGAAGGGAAGTGGAAAGAAGGGTAGGGAAAAAATGCAGCTGGGAAAGAAGGGAGGTGAAGGGGACATAAAAAGAATTAAGATGTACTATGTACATGTACCAATTCCTCATGATGAATGTAATTATTATGTATTAAAAACATGTACTAATAAAAAAAAAGGAAAAAAGAGCCATTAGTCTCAACTCAGTGAATAAAACATCCAAGAGTCTACCTTTTCAACAATTAGACACCACAGGGTGCTATCATGTGGCACATAACACTTCAATCAATGATGGACCATATATCCAACTATGTCCCATAACATTCTATCACCTTGTGTATTGCAGCCATCTTTGTGCAAGTATACACTACCCTGGTCATTGAGCAATGTCTGTCTGCACCTTCAGACAATTCAATATTCAATTATTACCTGATAGTTTGTACTGATTCCTCTTTTTATATCACTGAAATTGAAACTGTCATTTCTTGAATAGGAATGGCACACTTTTGCTAACAGCTGACATTCTGCAGATGTTCATTCATTTAAATGGTGTAGCCAGTTTTGGGGAGGCAACCCAATACCCAGAAAGAAAAGATTCCCCTCTAAGAAATAAAAAGCAAGACCCATGTATACGACACACCAGAGCATAATCATATGGTTTAATCTAAAAGAGGAGAGAACGCTTCCAGATTAGATAAGATTTGATAATACAGTAAAACCTTGAATTTCAAGTAACTTGTTCTGTGAGTATTCCACAGGATGAGGAAACATTTCTATAAATTTTAACTTGAAAAACAAGTGATGCCTTACAATACAAGTACTATGTGATGCTGAACATTACATGATCACAACTAAGTCAATACCCCACCCCCGCCTCCACTGCAGGATTGTGGGTAAATGTCTCCCAATAGAAAGAGGTTATGGGGAGATCTCTCATCTACAGAGGAGGAGGAGAAAAAGGTGTAGGATCCTCACTTGAAATGAGATTAGGGAGATGTGTACAATGTGGGAAACAGCAAAATTTTGTAGAAAAAGCACCACCAGAATAAGGCTGTGACAGTGCAAGCAATACTGTTTTAACAACAGTGCAATTCATATTTCTGCAAAATTCTCAAAGGAAGCAAAAGCAAGTGTCATTGGATAGGTTTTTTACGAAAGCTGTGCTAAAAGAAATAAGACTCCATTAAGCCAAGAAACAGTAGTTATTCCAGTAATGATAAGTGAAAGTAGTCCTATATAATAAACCTCCTCTTTTGTCCCCCTCACACCAACCACAAGGATTTTCAAAGGTAAGTACAGGATAATTTATTTTGCTTTATATTTTGTATTTTCTTTATTATTTCATATATATTACAGTATTGTAATCATTTTTATAAGAATATTTTTAGGTTTTGTAATGAATCACCTGAATTTCCATTACAATGAACCCCCAAAATTTGCATTCCTAGAACACTCGCAAATTGTGAAAAATGGTAAATTGCAGACATGGTCAGAAAAATGCCTATTATGCTACCATGGCATAACTTTTTAGTCCCTGGAGCAAATCCAGTAAGTAGATCAACGTTCTCCTGGAATGTCTTAAAGTTCTTCCAGGGTTTAAATTCACTGCCAGAAGCCTTAGAAGGTACAGGGCATTTTGGCGGCATCCTAGGGACCATAGGGCTTTAAGAACAAAACTGAGAAACCTGGAGATAGGTACAGGGTATAACAACCTGTTTAAGATGCAGGAATGCTGGTGTATCTGCCAAGATGGGTTACAGGGTAGCAGCCAATCAACAGCAAGGAGACTGAGTAACACTCTTAGATTGGCTACTTGCAAACCTCCTGCCAAATAAACAATTGTGGAGGATATTTACAGTTTCTTCAAAATTGCAGGGGTTTCCACAAACAATTACTGATTAGGTTCCAAGGAAAAATCTGGGAATGCCTGAGGCTGTTAACTCTGAACCATGACTTCAGAGGGTATAAGGTATTTCTTATGGGGAAATTCTCTTTGATATACAAGTGCTTTGGATTGCAAGCATGTTTCCAGAACAAATTATGCTCACAAACCAAGGTTTTACTGTAAATGTTGTAGCACAGCTAAAAAGGAATTGCCCAGGTATGGATGTACAGAAAAAGAAGGGTCAGGGCTATTTTTTCAAAGAAGAGGAGTTTTAACTATCTCCTTTACGTGGCAATTGTAGCCAAAGGATCCTAGCATTCCATTTCAACAGAAACCTTCCTCCATGCCTAACTTAACGATGGATGCAACTGTTACCTAACATATATGTGAGTTCAAGCTCTTGAAGAACTCCTTGGCTTGTATTTTATTTTCCATTTAAGTCTTCTCAGAGAAAATGTGTTCAGGTTCAGGGTCACTGTTGCATAGAAGTAAATTCACCCACAGACCTCTTATGAATCACCAGGTTACAAACTCAGCCAGACTAAGGAAAGATGATTTTTATTTTTATAAAACTGAAAAACCAACAACCTGACAAATTAGAAAAATCTCAGGAACCAATGACTTGTGGTAAAGAAGAAAGGAAGATGCATGTTTTAAATGTTCAAAGTTTAGATCCTAAGCATCCAGCACTCTTAAAGCTATGTATCTAGAGAGTCCGCCAAAAAGAAACACTTGTTTAAATATTTTAATACAAAATTTACTAAAAAATCATGAGATTAATACTAGTTACCTTTGGCCTCTACAGTTACAAGAGATGCTCAAAGTGGTGGCCATTAGCTTCCAGATATTTATTATTTTTCTTTTTCTGAAGTGTGCATACATTTTTTGGTGGACTCTGTATCATATTCCTTATTCTCCCTTTTGTGAAAATTCTCTTCAAAACTTAACGCTTAAAATAAAATTCTTAACAAGTTATATGTCACTGACAAAAGCCATTAGTAAATGCAGCGTCATTTTTCTATGAGAAGAGACACTACCTTTAGACCTGTTTTAAATGGTTTCTCCTTGGTTCCATCTCCTGTAGCATCATTTCCCTCTCGATCCGACACATACAGCTCTGCTGTTTTATAAAATGAGAATAAGTTACTTGTTTGACCAATAACAGACACTTTATAACGCAACTACTTTAGCCGTTTATGTCTGTACACAGGATAAGCACTGGATTTGTAAAACTTACCACAGTCCAAAACAATCACCCTCTATTTCAAGGAAATGTATCTCCTAAAAATATGACTTATAAATTTCACTTTTCAAAATGAACATTTTAATTTGTGATACTATTTCGATCCACTTGACTACCCATCAATAAAGCAGGAGCTTTAGTTAGCTAGACCTATACTGGAACGTAGTTGTTTTACCTTAAAAACCAGGGTGATCCTGGAAAATTTACTCAACCTATCTGAGCTTACTTCCTCTTCTACGGAACAAGGAAAACAATATACATCTTGCTGAGCTATCCTGACGATGAAACAACACATAGAGATCAGACATCCCCGTGCCAGACTGCAGATGGCTAATGAAAATATCAGCTTCCTAAGAAATCCAAGTTCTGAGGTTAAACAAATTGCAGAAGGTGAGGTGGGCCTGATGGCCCATACCTGTAATCCCAGCACTTAGGAGGCTGAGGCCGGGGGATCACTGTGAGTTCAAGGCCAGTCTAAGACACATAGGGAGACTCTCCCCCGCACCCAGCCAAAAAATAAAAAATAAAAAAGTGCGAAAGGCCTCACAACTGCAGAAGCCTGTGACATCAGCCCAGTTCTTCTAATTTTTTTTTCACTTACTGAAAATCTTAATACAAAATGAAGCTGTACACCAGAGAAGAGAATTAAATTTATGAACTCCTTTCCAGAAGATCACTTTTTAAAAAACTGCATATTTGCAGGCTACACTATGCCTGAGCCTTCACATCGCCCAAGTCTCAGCACAATCACGCGACTTTTGGCAGTGGGGCGGACCGGGCCATGATTGCAGCACCGGGGAACGCGGGGCTCAAGAAGAGCTCGGCCTGAGCCACCGAGTCAGCCTCCCCGCTCCACCCCCGACAAAGCTCGCCTCAAACATCTGGAGCTGCCCACCTTGCGCCAAGGGCTAAGGCAAGTAATCAGCCGGCACCAGGGTTCCCGCTCGTGGCAAGGGGCACCGCACACTACGCCAAATCTCACTCACCCAGAACCATTCCTACGGTCGCCCTGACCACTTCCAAGGACATAAACTGCAACACCACCACCGCCTTGCCACCCCAACGTGCACCAGTAGCTTCCTCGACTCAGGCGTTGCATCATATACTCTAGCGCCGAGGTCATCAGCGTGAGTAGGCCAAGAGTCGGGGATCCATTGGTTACGGGATGAGGGCGAGCGCCGCCGGCGCCGCCATGTTTTTTCAGGGCAAAGTAACTTCCGGCCCGGAAGTGCCCCGCCCAGCTTTGGGCTCCGGTTCCTTGCTGAGCGCTCCGGAAGATCCAGCCCCGGCTTCAATTCTTGCTTCCTTGAGTTCACACCTACTAAACTTTCCCTTTCAAAGTTAGGCAGGCGTGGTGTTGCTCCCCTGTAATCCCAGCAATACGAAACTAGGCAGGAGGAGCACAATTTGAGGCAAACTTGAGCTGCATAGCCAAACTATGTTTCAAAAAAATAAATAAGACTTTGAATTCAAATTCTGCTCTTGTGAGTGCGCCGGAATCACTTTTTGAGAGGCTGTAATAATGAAGTGTAAAGAACCAGGGCTTTGGAATATAAACCTGACTTGGAGTTCTGGTTCTGCCCTTTAATGTGTGTCTTGAAATACATTACTTGACCTGTCAATTTCCATGTGGTGAAGGATGATGTAAGAGCACCGCCTGCCTGGAATATGCTATGTACTAAAGGATAATGATCCTCATTTTCCCCCAACGTATTGAAATTCCACAGTTTGTCCTTGAGACGAGGGTTTTTTTTGTTGTTGTTACAGAAGGAACTCTAAAAATCACTCGGGGTCTAGGGCTATGAGGCAAAAACTTTGGTATTATTTTCATAGAGAATACTTCACCAAATTTCATAAACTTTCTCTTCTTCGCTGTTTTGTGTTTGCGGTTACAAACTACAACGTGATCATCCATTGCTGCAAATTACGATATGCATGATCTCACACGGTTTCTGGTGGTCCGGAATTTGGAAGCAGCTTAGCAGGGGGTTCTGGCTCAGGGTCTCTCATGTATCTTGCTGTGGGCAGGGGCTGCAGTCATGGAAAGGCTCGACTGGCTGAGGATGGAGATGCTGCTTCCATGCCCACTCAGGTGGCAGAGGCGTGGACAGCAATTTTATCCTGGACATGCTTAAGTGTGGGGGTCTGAGAAGACGTTGGTGAGAGGAAGTCATCTCAGATGGTAGAACTCTGGCAGTCTGCCTGGTTTTCCACATTTTTTTTTTTTTTTTTTTTTTGTGTCT